TTAAATTTATTTTTTGAAAATAACTTATATTTGATACTTACTTTGGTCCTGACTACTTTGTTTTTCTCTAAGTTCTTTCATTAATTCTGGATTTCGTTTGTACTTCACTAGACGTTTAATGTATAAACGCTTTGTAGTTTTAGTAATAGGCCCTGAAAAATATAACGAAAAATATAGTTATATATTTTTATATACCATATATAAAAAAAATACATATACATAAACGAGAGTAATTGAGTATATAATAATTGATAATTGAGTATATATTTTTCGGAATATTGACTTTGCAGTATATGGTGTAGAATTTTGTTAGAAGTGAATCGTGTCTTTTAAAAATCGTGTTTATGGTAAGTATATATATAATATCTGATGTCGCTGAATCAAAGTTGAAGATAGCAGAGAATTTGATGAGGTAAACATGAATTTGAAAAGCAATGGGCTTTTTACCAATATACAGTTCATTTTTATACTATAAGAGTTATTCTCCCACATCATATGATAGAATTCAAAACTTTGAGTTTTCTGCTGAAGTCAGTACCTCTTGGATAACATGACATAGATTTCTATCTTCAGGTAGAAATATAAATATTATACAATTTATTTCATTTAAATTTGTCGATATTTCGTAATTTATAATTTAAATTATTTTTTTTTTAACAATTTTGCTAATTACACGTATATAATAGTGTCACCGAAAATAAGCTTACATAGATATACATGACATACTGTTATATATACCGACATTGGTGTTTATTATCTCCTACTGGTAATCCAAAAGGTCTCAAAGAACTCCGTCGCTTTTATACTTTTTTAACCCAACAATATATTTACCCATGTATTTGTAATTATAAGTGCTGTCGTGTTATCTGTCATATAAATTCCCATGGATTTTCACAATAACACACCCACTTACTGTCACTAAATATACATTTTTTAATAATATTTACAAAAGCTTTGAGGTACTAAACATTAGATATTAAATTTATGCGTTCTTGCGTTGATTAAGTTAACTATATCGGAACTAATGTGCAGTATTTCGTTGAATCGGTTAGGCTAGAACATCATAGTAACTTATCAGTCACGTTTGATTTTATATGCGCCAATTAACAAGAGCAATATTTTGGATGAGATTCTTACTATAAATGGTTAAATTACCGAAGCATCATTCAATAGAATTTTAAGGGTGCAGGAAAAGATAGATATCCATATAAAATGCACCAAACTACTTTATGCTGCTAATAGCAATGTTACTTATCACAAATTCGCCTACACGCATGATATACAGATATACAAAATAGGTTTACAAAAATATGTGACGAATCTTCTTATTTCCAAACAAAGTGCTTTCTGAAAATGCCCGAGGCGAATATAATAAACGTAGTGGATGAGAAGAGTGAGTGGGTGTAAAATGTAACAAAATAAAAACAATTTCAGTTATACATATTCTGAAATAGTACGCAACAAATTTGACCAGTTTCGAAAGACTATATAAAGAATTCATATTAAATAAGCCGATAGAGACGAAAGGATAACTATTACTTAAAAAATGCAGAAATCATAGAGAGATATTTAAATAAATTTAATGGTAGTTACCTGGTGCTTCACCAAAAGTTGTAAGTTCTGCACGTAATTCATCAGTCTCATAATCAATTGGCAAAGTTATGTTAGTGGACTGCGTCGTCGTTGTCTGATTCAAGTTACAGCGCTTTCTACATATACACAAAAAAAAATTGTTTGTAAAAATGAAATTTAAGCACATTTTTAAATATGTATTAGAAATAATTTATTGTGTACGTATTATATACAATTACTACCGAATTCGTTCCATTATAAATATTTATTTATAAAAAAATTCTTACAATATTAAAAATTGTCTATTGGTTACAAATTTATGCATCTCAAAAGGAAATTTATTGCAACGTCCTGGAACCAATGACTTATTACACAGTATGTTTTAGTTGAAAAGTGAACGAAAGTCACATGTAATAATATGAATTAATAGATCTAGCTGTAAAAAAATACATAGTTACCTTATAGCTGAACTTCTTTGCTGTGCCACTTTATTTCCGGGATTGCTTGGTAATTTGGTTTCATAAAACACAAGTCCATTTTCATCGTCCGTATGCACATAAGCTTCCTTCATTTGTAAATAAAAATCACTTTTGGGTGATCGTATGAAGCTCATACTGCTGTTCATACCGCTTAAATCGGCACACATCGCATCAGGTACTTCTAAGTTATTTTGTCTGTTAGCGTCAAACTCAGGTACCGTTTGGTAACTACTTTCGGTGTCCGGTAACACATTTAGTTTGGCTGTTTGAGCCTCTGCCACTCTTTGAATCAACGCACCCAACGACACATTTTGTACTTTACGTTGTGGTACTCTTTCTTCTGAACCTTCTTTAAGATCATGTGATGCTATGGAACCACAAGCACCACTATCTCCATCAGTCGTCTTACTGGATTTTTCTTTATATAAAACGTTAGTAAAATTAAGATGATCACTTGCCATTACATTGTCGATCATTTCACTTATGTCGTCATACTCTTTCAGTATAGTTTGACGTGCTTTAGTGTTTTGTACCTTCTGTCGCCAAACGTCTATTAGGGATACGCGTGACCGACTATGGTCTGGTGCAGTCTGTGAAAGTTCTTCAACGTTTTCACGTGTTAATGCAAATAAATTTATTGGTTTTTCCTCAGCTTGTGAAGATTCATCTAACTGAATAAGGTTATTTTATTTTATTTCTAAGTAAAATTGGGTTATTTAAATACAATTCTATTTACCACAAACGTTTTATTAACTAAATTCATTTTTTCAGACGTTTCTGTATTTTTTCCTATGTCAGCTGATTCTTTAGGCGGTAAGTCCAATACCGGAAACTTTGGCTGCAACTGGTGTCGCCGATGTGTTATATTTATATAGTAAGGTGAAGTAACATCGTAGTTGTAATGTACTCGGTTTGGTGTGTATTTGATGCTGTCCAACATTTCATTCGTCACTCTAAGCGCTTTGTTATTTGCTTTGTCGGGAGTATTTTTGCAATCTGGTTCAGCATTTGGTGTGGAAGTTTTTTGATTACATATTTTTTTTTGTAAATAGTATTCGAATTTAGATTTCGACAATGAATCCTGTGAGACATTTTGTTTACATTTTAATATTTTTGAGTGATGTTTTTGTTTTTCTCTAAATTTGTTTTGGAATATATGATCGCGCATAACTTGGACAACTTCAAAGTAGCATTCTTCAATCGCATAATGCAAAGGCGTTTTACGTTGATCATCTGAAATATCTAACTGAGCGTTGTGCTCCTTAAAACATTCTTATTATTGCAGTTCTAAAATTTTATTTGTGTTTGCTGTCATTAGCTCACCAGTAGCATTTCTACTATGCCAACGCGTCCGTGCATAGCCGCTATGTGAAGTGGGGTCATATTTTCGTCAGTAAGAACATTTGGATTAGCTGGAAACACATTTACGATTAAAATTTTATGAAATGGAAAATATTATTAAAATTCACCTCCGCTTTCGAGAAATCGTTTAGTTATTTTATATGACAATTCAGCATTTTCCATACCACACGAGAAATGCAGTGGTGCAATACCACGCTCAATAGGCACGAAACTCGGATCCACCATATTTTTATCAAGTATACTGCAAATGTCTCTAACGGTTTTAAAAAGGCATTTAGTTTTACAAACATTAGTCAATTACAAAATAACGGCTTAAAAATGTCAACTTACTCTTCGTTTTCATCATCAAGAGCATCAATTAATATGAGCGCTAAGAAGTTTAGCCGCTGATTCATATCAATATTATTAGTAACAATAAAAACGTAGAATCTTTATCAACTACAATTATTTATTTCTGACGGCTCTGCTAATAGCACCACAGCAAGAGTAATGTTTACGAATGGCTTGAAATGTTAAGCGTTCTTTGTTGTTGTTTTGAAATCGTTTCTTAAGTTCTTTACGTCAGATGGCGGTCTGAAGAAATTTAAAATTTTTAATGACAGTGTTGCATTTTGTGACTTTGACGCGATCAGTAATAATTCTTAATAATTTATATATGATAGCAATACTTATATATAATTGTCTTGCATTTAATATTTATATCAATGTATGTTAAATATATTATATATAAGTTGATATTAAATCCTTTTTTAAATTTTAAAGCCCGGTGATTTGATGGTGGAGTTCGATTAATTTAAATTTTACTACCATAGCGCAGTGAACACAGTATCAAACTCTAAAAAATTATGTATACAGTTTTATAAACATATACTAGAGTAAAAAAATTACCCAGAATAATTGTTTATACCAAAATCAAAAGTCAAATTGCGGTATCTCTAATCGTTATTGTATCATAAATAAAGGTCACAAGTTATAAATATTTTTATATCAGACATTTCTTAATTTGACATATTCTTAATAGTATAAGAACTGAACAATTTTTTATTTAACATAAATCTACATTGTTACAAACAACTAATAGGAGACCAGGGGTTATTCAGCTATGATGCCAAAGTACCGTTGATATTTCATCGCTTGAAGGAAAGTGGGAGGTTGTCTCCATATAGCAGCTATTAACTTACTTATTACATAGTTTCAAAATGAGTTAAACAGTGTTTCTTTTGCTATAGAAAACAAAAATCAGCCAGGATAATTACCAAGTATTAGCTCACTAGTGGGTGTCTGTAGATATTTATTGAAGACTATTTACTGAAGACAAAATACTTATTAAAACACAAAATACTCTATTTAACTAGTTCTATTTTCATTCATTTACATTATTATTTTACATCTAAGAATGTTTCTAGTTTAGCTTTAATAACTTTGAATTAAAGAATAAATTGATTTTAATTTAATAAGAAATAACAATATTACACTTGTGACAACATTTCGTACCATATTAAAATTTTTTTCACATTTTTTTATATTTGTATTAAAAAATTATAATTCAGTTTATAATTTTTATATATAAAAATTTTATACCATATATAAAATTATCACCATATCAAATTTAATAATTACAGAAGGTGTGTCGTAATCTCAAACAATATATAGAACATCAATTATCGATAACTGTTTTAGTCTCAATCACACGTTTGTAATAAATTGCAGACCTTTTCGGAATACGTTCCTTGTTCTCGCTTGTCAGGTTAACATAGTACAAACCAAATTTTTCACTGCGAACCATTAAACTTAGTGAGAATTAATCGACGTAAAAGGTATCAATGAACTTACGTGTAACCTCTCTGCCATTCAAAATTATCGATTAAACTCCAATGAGTGTAGCGCGAAACATTACAGCCACTGTTCACAGCATTTAACACGGCTTGCAGGTGGGCCTGAAAAGGCGTTAATGAAATTAGCACACTTTCCACACGCAACATAGGTGTTGCTGTACTTAAACTTTTCAGTGCATGCTTAACTGGTATTTTTATTTTTTTATTACCTTCAAATAATCGATCCGCTCGCTGTCATCTAGTGTACCTTCGTCCGACCAACCGTTTTCTGTTATTATAACTTCAACATTATTGTAATTATCACGTATCCACCTGTAAATAATTGTCAAAAGAATCATATATTTTTGAAGATTAATGAAATTGTTTTTACTTTAGTAAATCTTCTAAGCCTTCTGGCACGCAATACAACCATGTGGATTTTGCGCGTCTCCATTTGCTATCAATGTCATATTTCAGGTGTGCATCATGGTCCCAAGAAGGCACTACACCTTTTGGTGGTAGTGCTTCCTCAACATAACGGGATGAGTAGTAATTCAAGCCCAAAAAATCACCAGATCCTTTAATGGCATTTAGCCACCAACTTTTAAGAGCTGATAATCGTGGCCATGCTCGTCCTTCTTTCTGGCTGTTACTAACAATATCCTCTATCATAATGTATGGATAATTTCCCGACAAGCTAAATATGGGATGTGCTAACCAACCCAACTAAGAAAATGAAAGTATTTGTTAATATACAATTTTTTACACCGTAGCTTCAAGGTTTCATACCGAATATTGCATTCCACGATCTACTGCATCATTATCATTCGTCTTCGGATACAAAAAGCGACTGCTTATTGTGATGCCCACTTTACCGCCTTGGGTTTCGAAGTACTTTGCTTTATAGAGACGATAAGCTGCAGCATGTGCTTTCAAAGTAGTTTCCATGCACATGTAATCAGCCACGCCAGGAGCACGAACCATTGGTGGAAAATTACCACTGCCATACCCTGGTACACAATAATCAAAGGGCTCATTAAAAGTAACCCATACCTTGACACGATCACCAAAATTTTCATATAAGGTGTCTGCGTAATAGCGAAAATATTTAATAAATATTTCATTTGTAAATCCTCCCAAATCGCTTAAGGCTTGTGGCAGATCATAATGAATCATAGTTACCATTGGTTCAATACCATTACTTATGAGCTTGTTAATAACCATATTGTAGTAATCGATGCCCTTCTGATTTTTTGACGAAATATCTCCATTTGGCAAGATTCTAGGCCATGAAATCGAAAAACGATAGAAGTTCACCTACAAATTAAATGAAAGCGGATGACGATGACATGCAAATTTCAAGTTTTACATAATTGTAAATTTATTATAATTTATCTATGGTCTTGCTATAACTTTCTAATATATAAACTAATTTTACACATAATACAAAATTTATTACTACAACTTTATCTCAAAAAAGAACAGAATTTAGCAACTTACCTTAAGTTCTTTAAGTGCTGCTAGATCTTGTTCAAAACGATGATAGGAATCTGGACCAATGTCGCCATTCGAGCGATCATCTATCATTTCGGGATGGTCGTGTGTAAAAGTATCCCAGATCGATAAACCTTTACCATCTTCATTCCAAGCGCCTTCAATCTGATAAGCGGCGGTCGAAACGCCAAACGAAAAGTTTGATGGAAACTTTTCACTTCCGATTTTATGTTTCAATTCGCATATCTTCTGGGCATTTATCGCTGTCACTGATCGAGTGTGCAGAAAACAAAAAGCGACAACCAACAGCTGTAAATCAAATTTAGTTTTATTATTTTTAGATATAATATAAATTACACTCATATTCTAATAAGAGTACACATAAGAATATACATACCAAATGGTAAGAGTACTTCTTCATTATCGTGACTTTTGCAACTAATCGTAATTCAATTATTAGACTGCGAAGAAATCGACTCAAACAAGTCTCCCATCAATACGGCTGCTCCTCTTCGGCAGACCGTCATGAACTGATAAGAATGTGTATTGTTTGCAAAAGATTGTTTGATTTTTTCTTTCTTTATTAAAATAAAAATCACTTGCATCTACACTGAGTTACAAAAATTTTGGTACGCTATATAAAATGTACCAAAATTTATTAATAAAGCAAATTATCACAACTTATGGTAAACGATTATTATGTCAATTTATGTAAGCCATTACTATCAGATAATGTGGAATGATGGTGGCCATACTATTCAATGGCGTAGCCAGGATTGTGCTAATGGGGTAGAAAGGCTATTTACTGAAAAATAGTTTTTGTTTGATTTTTAAATAAATTTAGTATTAAATACTAAATAACAATATAAATGTAACAGTTAATAAACCTTGTTGTCCAACAGAGAAAATAATTTTAAAAAATATAAACTAATACTTTTCTCAGCATTGTGAATATACAATAGTCTGTTTTAGAAAAACTTCATTTACAAATTAAAATAGTTGGACCAAATAACTTGGAAATATAAGTATAAATATCCTTATTTTATAAATTTAAATATTTTTTGTTCTTGATGTGTTAAACAGCGCTTTTTTAAGAGTTGAGCTGTAACTCTTAAATCAATCTTAATCATTCAATCTTAACTTTAGATCAAACTTTAGATAATAACTGCAGAACTTACTATCATTCGCTTGTGTTCCCGACGAGTTTAGGAACATTTGTAAAATTTCTCTTCTATTTCATTGTGTTTTGTGTTGTATTATTTTATTAGTGCAACATACTAGGTTGGCAATGTTAAGTGGAACCATCCGGAAAAACCTTAGCTTTGACGAGTAAGATGAAATTAACTAATGATAAATTTACCGACGTATTTGAAACGTCAGTCTTGGGAAATTTTTGTTATGAAGCAGTACACACCACAAGAACGCGTTAAAGCTCATGAGAATTTTTGGCGAACAATAATCAAAAATGATTTAATATTAAATGGAACCATAAACAAACAAAATTGGCGATTTTAATGAATGGAAGACCTTCAAATTATTAAAAAAGCGGTCAAAAGGTGACAGTTGTGGAATTTGTGACAAAGCAACAACCTTCAATCAGTTGCGTTATTGTGGTTTAATAATCAATTTTTTAAAGTGAATTGTTATTGAAAATGATATGCAGAACTTTTACTTTCAATAATACAGTGCACTACCTTTTACAACTCGTGTCCAAATCGATTTCTTGAAAAAATAAAACTAGAAACTAAAAAGTTTCTAACCCATTAACTGTATCCAAGTGTAACGCGGTAAGATAAATTTAAATCGTTCAATTTTATCTGCCTGCAATAATTTCTAAATTTATTTGAAAAAAAAATAATACAATAATTCAATAATAATACAATAATCAAGTATATATATATTGAAGACCTCTAAAGATTACTCAGTAACGATTACACAATTCTGACCTAAACGCTTGCAAAAGGAGTTTGAAACACATTCAATCATTAATAATACTTCACTCAAGACCTCAAATCAATTAGGTCTTGAAATAAATAAAATTTAATTAACAAAATCCAATAATCTGCATTTCAATATATACCTTTCTGTACTTGAATAATTCCATTCTGATAACTAACCCATTTTCATACAACCTGTCCTTATCACCCCGACATGAGTAATAAAAATTGTTGGGTATTTGTAAATACTGCAGACTTAAAAAGAAACCTATATTCTTCTCAATCCATGGAGGTACTGCTATCAAATTCATGGATGACGATAAAGTGAATTTGAAGCTTTTAACATTTCCTTGGAACTACAATTCCAGAATAGTTTTGATGAACACGATGACGTGGCATATGAGGAGCATATCTATTCTAAAGTTGATCTAGCTCTTGACACAAATTCGATTCGTTATTAACTTATCTGATTTTAGTCAAGATAGTTACTTTAAATTGCTTTTTGGACTACACTATATTTTAATATAGCTTGGTTTTCGAGATTAAGGCTTTGAGGTTGAGAATTTTAAAATACATCAATGTTGACGTATTTAAGTTATGTTACTGTCACTAACTTAATGATGAATATAAAAAGTTTATAAGTTTCAGCAATGGGGTGAACCGGCAATTGATCGGTTCACATTCTGGTTCAATGTGGAATGGATGTATAATATAAGAGTAGAACGTATTTTTTGCGATTTTAACATATAATATGATACAGTAAACAATATAAACAAAACAACTAGTGAAAACATGGTTTTGACGAAAAAAAGTAGCGCCTTATTTTTATTTTTAAAATTAATTTTTATGCAAGTTTGAATTATAGTGGGAGAAGCAATTGGACATCAGGAACTATAAACTAATTAAAAAGAATATATCATATTCGAATATTTCCTAAGACCACTGATGATGACGTGGCAATACTCAAAACTGTGTTGTATGGTCAGCAAATTTTCAATAAATTAACTAAATTTTTGTTCTTGTCTCTTTTTTTACTATTCGAATCCATCTAACTTTTGAATAGTTTCTTTTCGTCATAAAGACGCGTCACTCTCGACAAGCAAAAATTAATATATAATTTTAATTTATAAACAAAAAGTTACATTAAATACAAAATAAATGCAATCGAGGGACTTCATATTCAAACAGTTTTTTACGCCAAAATTATATACATAAATTAAAACCATAACTTAACAAAACATAAAGCTTTGCCAACTACTTCAATTTGAGATATGTATTGTTTCAGCAAAGAAGTTCCTGATCATTGTTTGGTGAAAGACAGCTAATATAACATAGTATAGAAAACTTGTGAAGAGGTTAGCTGCAGTCTAAATAAATTAAAATAAGTTAAAATATATATATTTAGAGTTAATACCGTTAAATTATAAAATTAAACCTAACACATTAATTAATTTTAAAAAAACTTATATAAGTTAATGAACATTAACATATTTTAATAATCATGCTATAATTGTATCAAAACAATATCCCGTTGAAATTTGTGTTCTGATGCAATTTTGTTAAAACAATTTACGGTTACCAAATTATTGAAAAACAACATGTTTGTTAATAATTTTGTCAAAATTAGACACCGTAACTGAATTTTCTGCAAAACAATATACCGCAATGGATATTGTTGAAGGGTTATTGTTGTTGTCAATATTTGTTTTTCGAATTAAGAGTTTTAAGTTAAACACGCACTCGCTAAGTTAGTTTAAGTTAGTTATTAAGGAAAAATATAAAAATAAAGTGGTCATCTCGAGAAATATCGAAAATAGACGTATAATTTTTATTTTAGGTAATAAATTTAAATCATAATCAGAATTGATATATATCTGAAATGAAGGAAAATGTTCTCGAATATGGATATCGTTAATTAATGTATGAACAATGTGGGCATCTGAGAAAAGTGACATAGTCTGTAATTGAAAACTCTCGCTCAATATGTCACTTCTTTATGTTCGCTCCACATTTATTTGATACAAAATGGAAAACTGCACTATAGCGAGACACCTCAACAAAATTGTTCGTTATTTGAGCGCAAAGTTAAAAAATTTTATGAAATGTTGGAGTGTAGCACAAATAAAAATGGAAGTATTTAAAAAATTAAAGCAATTACTATTTTTGTTTGTAAAAAAATAATCACGAATCTAATCATTGTGCGATGAAAATATTCAATTTATTGCTTAGCGGAGATACAGAAAATGAAAAGAAATATGAATATTTAAAAGGTGAGATGAGTAAAATAATGAACTTTATTTAATAAAAATTAAATGTATATTATATAAAGCAGATTTTAATTATGAGGACTTTCTGTGCTATTATAAAAAATTGCTTCCTATTTATGTGTACTGTCAACGCGTTTTTGCAAACACGTCATTGGATGAGCTGGAACTGGAATGGTTAGGTGGAAATTTGAAATACATTACATTAGCAGAAAGTCAAGATGAATCAAAAGGAAACCTCGAGCAGTTACTTCTGCTTACCGCAGTGCTTGAAAATGCATTGGGCAACGTTTATTATACTGTTTCGGAAAAGCGTAATCCGCCACACTTGTTGAGAGATTTATTGGCTACAGCTGAAATTGCAAATATTTTTGGAACAGATCTGGTAAATTTTTTTTTATTATAGTTTATTGTTGAGTTAAAACTACAATTTATAACAACTGGAACTCAGTTAATCTTAGCAGTTATTTGAAGTTTAAATTGTTGCTAAACAAATATTTTAAAAACAATGCTATCACAAAAAGAATGGTGTACTGGAATTTAACAGTTTAAAATAACTATAATTAATTGATTCAATAATTCAATAGCTGGTTTATGATAGCGTTCTAATATAACATAACAAGTGAATTTGTAAATGAACTTGCACAGTAACTGACTAATTAACACTGACTCTTGTGTTAAGCTTCAAATTCAAATTTGGATTGAAATAGT